GAGTGCGATTGTATTGCAGATTCCGCGCATTGATTACGCCGTTATGTCATCCGCAAACGCCACATCACTGAATAACTCCTGAACTCCGTTCTAATGATTAATTCATGCGCGTTACTCTGGATGCAGTTCGCGTTCATTGAGATCCACTTCTTGTATGTGCGAGTATGGACAACGTGAAATGGAATGACTTCGCTAAATTCATGGAGTGTGTGAACTATGGACGCTTAATGGCGGAAACTGGAAGCAAGCGTATCTCTTATCATTTAATCGAGGCTACTCTGCGATGGATGTTTCAACGTTTCAATAAAATTTCTGAAATATTAATTTAATTTAATTGAATGTATATTAGATAGTAGTTCAACATCTTAACACTCGGACCGGGAAGGCGCTTTGTATTTAAAGTTGTAATATTTATATAGACGGTCTTGTTTCCAATCATAATAAAATTTTAGAAATTTGCAATGTGGGAGAAATTTCCGGGACATCACCCAGAGATTCAAATCATTATCTCCGTTTGATTAATCACATTTTCTTTAAATAATTGATTTTTACTGATTTTATATAAATCACTTTATATAAATTTTAAAAGAATATATAATTTTTTTTATTTAGTATACATATACATTTTTTATTGTAAACATTACATTAAAAAAAATTTATGAATAAACAAAATTAAGTTGATCAAAGATTATTAAAATTATAATTATATATAAATAATTATATTTATATAAATTATTTATATATAATTATAATTTAAATAATTTTTGGTTAATATGATAGTTGGAAAAAGGAAAAACTTAAACTGTTTCGACTAAAAATATCGGATTAAAACTTTTCACATCGTTTATATACTTTAAAGCGATTGGGAAGCTCATTCACATTCTGTTCCTTTCAATCGCAAATTACTATCGCAAATTTCAGTCGTTTCTTGGCGCAATGAGACGCAATGAAACTTCAGACATCATTAACGCCCGATTAAAGCAATTTTTTTCTCGAGATGAAAAGTAGAACATCTTCTGATGGTCTTTTCAGCGCCCTGAAGAAACGCGCAGGAAATCATCCAACGCAACGACGTACCTGAACTTCTGATCGCAAGATGCGAACGGTAATTCGATTCCTGTCGACCATTTCTATCGAGCGTTAATTGATCAACGCGGATTTCTAGACGCGGAAAAAGCGAATTCGTGCGACGATAACGGGTCGCTTCGTTCCCTCGACGAAGATCTCGTTTAATTTATGAACGCACAATTAAGTCAGCCGTTTCTTATGAGACGAGGTCAACCCATCGAGAGGACTTACCCATCCTCTCGCTCCCTATCCCCCCCTCTCTCTCTCTTCCCCCCCTCTCCTAAAGCCACGACGACATCACACAACTTCCCACTTCCGCACTTCGTCGCAGAGTTTTGCTTTCACTTTGCAAATTATTTCCGAACCATTTCACTCGCTATCTTTCCGAATGTCATCGGCCAGAATGAACGTCTGGAAAGAGAGCGAGTATCTCGTATTCGAGAATTCGTGCCCCGGACAATGCATATGCGCATACGCGACAGTTCACTCGACTACAACTACTCGAGGAGCAGAGGTATATAAAAATAAAAAACTTATCCTCTTTTTAGATAGATTGGCAAAAATTTGAATTTACAAATACACCCTTTTTCAAGATAAATTGAATAAATATATACATTTGTTTTGCAAAGATTTGCATGCAAAATAACCCAGATAAAAATGTAAATAATATAGATAATAACAAAAATAAAATACATCATTCTTGAAGTAATTCTCGTGTAAAAATATTTTATGTAATTATCGTTGTGATGTATTTATTAATGTATAATAGATTATTTATGATTTCTGTAGTTAAATTAATTTTTGATTAACTAAATTTATCAATTTTAAATTGATAAATCATTATAGTTTAGTTTTTTAATTTAATGTGACTTTATATAAGAAATTAACGCCATATATTTAATTTTTTGACTAGTTTTATTTTTAATGTAAATACGTAGTTATTTCTTAATTAGAATTTTAGATAATATATAAACTATATATTAATTATATATTATTTATATTGACTGATTTAATTATCTTTGTTCCATTAAGTTATGCATCGGTAGCAAATCAGCAAATCAGCAAAGCATAGGTCAATCATTAATAATAGGTTATCGGCACAGAAGTTTTTGAAGTAATTGAGCTGATCGTCTTAAAAGAACTTTCCTATACAAGCTTTGAATAATTATATCGTTTATTCAGATATGTATTTCTTTAACTTTATACTAACGTATCTTTATTCAATTCAAGATTCTCATTTTCTACATTATTCCCTCGTACTCAGAACAACATACTTTATTTTTAATCTAAAAATTTACATTAATACCAGCAAAATTAAAATCAACATAAACTCGTCAAAGTATGACAAAATATAAATTTAAACTTGTCACTATAGTTATCTATTTAATTGTTGTGAAAATAACGTCTTGAAAAATAGAGACTCATATTAATACAGACTTTAAAACTTGATAAAGATTGTGAAATAGCGACTCATTAGATTGCCGCGAAAATCAAGCTCCCAAAAATATTAAGACATTTAGGAATATTACTTGATTAGCGGTGCACGGATTTCTGGAATAAATTGCGTTCATACTCACAGATACGAGTCCTCCCTATCCCAGGATACTATCTCCGTCACGACGAAATAGCCAGAGGTGAGGGCAGTGATCACCGGCCTGCCGCTGGTTGCATTCGTAACAAGCACAACGTGTCGCCAATTGCTACCGTTTTTCTGTATTTGCGGTAATATCAGAAGAAATGACATACCATCCTCGCTGAATGTAGGCGCTTCAAATTGCTCTACCCAGCCATTTGTTTCGCTATATGAAAGCGCCTAGGAGCAATTAAACATATCCTGGTCAGCAAATTGCGTTCTATAAATTTATTTAAGATATATCGTCATGCATAAAAAAGATGTAAAGATTTTCTTGCCATTGCGTTCGATGTAATGATATCACACACACACACGCGCGTGCGCGCGCGCACATCTGTATTCATGTATATTTTTGAAAAATTATTTCTTAGTTTTTTTTGTATGGAATATCTGATTTCCTTTTTTCCAACGCTTTTTTTCTATTGCTTTTAACTTTTTTATTGATAAAGATACATACATTTCCTTGATATGTCGCTTAAGTTTAACATTTTAATTGAGAAAAAATTTTACAATATATTTTTATGAATATTATAAATGCAATTGAATTGAATATCATACACTGCAGTGTGTTATTTCCACATTATGGCGTTTAAGAGTTAAATCGATATTGTATTTTTCGCGAAAATGTACGAGCTAAAGTAAACAAGCGTATTAATAAAGCGATCCAGTAAAAAGAAAGTTATTTATTTTTCCTCTTTAACAACACCAAAAATACACGACTAGTCATACTTCATAATTGCAATTTCTTATGACCCCTTTTTTTTCTTAGTATATTTTATCGCAACAAACTAATTCGCACGTAAAAAAAAATTATTTCGCAAAAGAATTATTTCTCGCAACATAAAATTAATGTCACGCTTCTAATGCGAAATTAAATTTATCACAGAATATTGTAATGCGAAATCTTTACCGATACTTGGAATTTGTAACGTCCAAGTTTCTCCAGAGAAACAGTCGCAAAAGACATGCGCGAAAGTGCGAATTAGCCGGGCCGCAGGCAAGCGCGCACTAATTAAAATACTATTGCCTAACTAAAGGAAGAACGTTTGTCTAAATTAAGATCCGTGGAAACTTGAAGAAAAGAGAATGAAGAATACAGAGAAAGAGAGAAAGCGGAATCTCCGTAAAGGGTATTATCAACCGAGTCCCTCCTCTCCCTCTTTCTTCCTTCCCCTTCTCGTTCTGTTCAGAACTGGAAGATTGTCTCTCGCGTGAAAATGAAGAAATACCTACCGTCGTGCAATTTGGCAGCAGATTGTCGACATCGCAGAGTTGAAAATACGCCCTATTCTGCACCCGATTCATCCAAGTTGCGTATACGAGACTGTCCGTGGGAAAGTCCACCGCTGACAGAATCCTTTCGGAGGTAGACAGTTCTGGCGGATGTTCGATCTCCACCAAAGTCACGTTACCTTGCACCACCATGTCGAGATCAACGAAAAATAGTTTAACTGTTGGATTTGTTGTGCCGCTCTGAAACGGAAAGACAGATTTCTCTTCTGAAGACGGATCGACGTCACATATACCGATGGTAGCGAGGTAATGGAAGATTATCGAATCTTCTATTATATATATAGCAAATAGATAGCAAAGAAAATCGTGCGGGTATCAATAAAAAAAACATAGCAGTTAAATCGATTTACTAAATAAGACATTCATCGTGCAAAAATATTATTTATATGAAATACATTCTTATTTAATACTGAGAAAAGTTATATTTGATATTTGTGACTATAATTGCTTGATAAAATATTATTTAAGAACTCTCTTTTTGTAGTTATTATTATATAATGTTAATAATTATATTTATATACAAGGTGTCTCTAATAATATATAGGATGTCTCAAACTTTTTGACATACCGCTTGTGAGCAGGTAGACGTGATTAATAACTAAATGTAAGTCGAAAAATTTTCTACCATTTTGCAATTTTCATAATAGTTAAGATATTAATTTCTTAAAAATTGTCGAATATGCGAGTAAAATTGACGCATAAGACAACTTTAAGATATCTTTTAGAGTTCTTTATAAAATTTCTTAAATATGTTTCTTAAAAAACTCTTAAAGACAACTTAAAATTGTTTTATGTATCGATTTTTAGACAGTGCCCATTGAGTAACTAAAAAAAGATTGCGGAAATTGCAAAATGGTAGAGGACTTTTCGACTCAGTTTGTCCGCTCTGTCTGCTTATAGCCAAAAAGCGTGTCAAAAAGTTTGGGACATTCTATATATGATTATAATTATATATACACGAAAAGAGGACAGTTGTGGGAAAGTAGAGTACCTATAATAAAAGTACGGACAATAGGGTAACGATGATTGGTCCGCTAAATTGTAGCAAAAGCGGAAGTTGCATACCCATGTGTACTATTAGTGTACTATTTACATAGCCATTTACACTATTTCCAGCGAGTTTTGTGTGCGTCAGAGCCGTCAGAGGTGAGTGGTTTGTTTATCATTTTATTTGGCGAGTTTATTTATTCATTTAGATTGAGAAGAAAGAGAAGTGAATATATTCTTTTAATGAAATAAAAACGTGAATTTCTTGTGTAGTCATTATAACTTAACCTATTTGTTTTTTGACACATTAGAGTTACAACGCCTGGGTGTGTAGCAGATTACTGCACAAACTTTGCCAAAAAAGGTTATAAAATGTGTCCTTTTCCACAAAACCCAGAAAAAAAAATTTGGACTAAAAACATAGGACGACAAGAACACTGAACCGTCTGATAATTCCGTGTTATGTGAGGTTAGTAAAAATTTGCTTTTATGATTTTTTAATATAAATAAATTATTAAACGATGTATATTATTCCAAGTATTTTGATGCCACGAATGTATTGCTGTTACGGGATCAAAGATGCATCAAGCGCATACCTTTGATGCATTTTTGCGTATTAAATGTTTTACAGAAGAGAGATTTTATATCAATCCTTCAACGTTTCAGTTTTTTGAAAGCATGGAATCAATAATTATGGAAGTTCTTTCAAGACAATATCACACAATTTTTATGCAAGAGATTCCAAGATCTTTCGTACTTGCTGCCAAATTGTCACAATCTCAAAAATGAAATCATTAAAAAATATTGCACATTTCGTTTGAAAACGCTTTCTGTAATGATCCGCAATAACAGATCCAATTTTGTTAGCAAAAGTATGCACCTAAATGTTAAATGACTTAGTTATGTATAATAATCAAAGAATATTATTAGTTTATTATTTTCAATTTTTTGTTTATTTATCATTTTAAATTATTAACTTGTGTTACTACTTGCTTATTATATAATTGCAATAATGTTTATTAGATTTAACTATTAATTATGTTAATTTGCGTTTATATATTTTATTTAACATATATGCATGTGTCACTTATTTGTATTTGTCATATGATTTGTAAGGGTCTTCTGTCGTCAAGATATGCAAAAAAATAACGATTTAGGTTTGGGGGTTATGGGAGGTTGTATTTTACAAAAACGCAATTGCCTTCCAATATGGCTCGTTTCGGATTACCCTCTTCTTGTCAGGCCTCCGCATAAGGACCAAAATGGCTATCAGGGCTGAGCTCATTACACAAGGAGCCCTTGGTCAAATAAAGAAATTCTATACGTATAACAAATCTTACTCGCTAATATCTTTTTTCTTAATAATATTATAACTAGGCCTTTCCTGACTTTACTCCGACCTCGGAGTTGTTAGCTCCGGTTCAGGGTCGCATATTTGCGGCCTCCTTCATAAGGTTTTGCGTCATTTGATGACCGCTTATATCTGCTACTACATATCTATTGTTACGTAACACTCTCCTAACTTCGTAACGGCCCTCTAAACTGTGGTATAATTTTATAGGAAAGTACCTTAGTAGTACCTACGTTTCTTATCATAACACTGCCACCAACACAATAGGTGTGTGGCGCTTTACGCTTTTTGTCGAAATATTGTTTATTATATTTTTAGCTTCGCTTTATCTTTTCACTCGCTCTCTCTTGCAAACGCTAAATTTCGATCGACAGTTGTGATGTTATTAACTAAATATTCGCGAATTACATCTATAACTTCATCTCGATGATTTACGCCAAATAGTAATTTATTCGGAGTAGCAATCTCTCATTAGTAGTTTTATGAACGGAGTTATTTATTGCAAATTCAATGGCACTAATAATTTTATACCAATATCTCTTTGCGTCGTTGTCTATAAGTTTACTAATTATGGACTCTAATACTCAATTCATTCACTCGACCTGCCCGTTAGCTTTAGGTGTATGTGTCGCTGTATATATGTGTCAAATAATGTTATCTTCGCAAAAAAATTCGAATTCACAGGACATGAATGCCGTCCTTCTATCGGATATTATGGTGCCTACTATAATTAAAAAAATAAAATCAACTGATGTATTATTTCATTAATTGCAATAGTCTTCGTCGGGTATAACATATTTTACGGAATCTATAACGACTAAAAGATACCATTTTATTACTCGTTCCTTATCTATTGGTCTATAATGATCTATATGGTATATTTTAAAAGATAACTGACCCTTATGGATACAATGTAAATACCTCTCCTACCTACCTACTGATGGCGTGAATGAAATACATTTTAGATAATTTAAAATGTATTCTGTTATCTTACGTTTCATGTCTGGGAACCAGTAGCTCTTTATTACATTGTCGCACGTCTTTTCTATTCCGAGATGGCTCATTTTATCGTATTTATACATAATACTTATAATTCCATAGCTTGCAGAACATAAAATAGCTCACCGTGATGTTTTCTGAACACAATACCGTTCCTCATCTCAAAATAAGAATCATTAGTTTTTGCAATATCTCCTTCAACTCAAGTAACTTGCTCCTCCCGATTTTGAGAGTTAGATTTAACTCGAATAAATTATCATGATTTCTTCTGGTAGTCTACTTAAAGTATTCACGTGCCCCATTTTTGAACCGGGTCGGTGTTCAGTCGAATAATCATATTCAAGCAACTCAAGTATCCAACGACTTGTACGCGGTGATATTTCTTTCTTTTTAAAAGTATTAACGCGTTATAATCAGTAACTAGTGTTAACGCGTTACAATCGGTAACTATATCTTAAATTTGACGCCACGTAAGTAAACCTTAAACTGTCATAATAAATAAATAATCGCCAACATCTCCAACTCAAAGCTATGCGACTCTCCGCATCAATTGTTCGCTTAGAAAAAAAAAAGACTGGATGAAACTGTTTATCTTTTCCACGCTGCATGAGCACTGATCCAAACCTACGATGCTCGCGTCTCAGTTTCACTAGTCGGATTATAGACAGCTAAAACAGGTGCTTTAGTTATTTTGCTTTTTAACTCTTCAAATGCTCGCAGTTCATCTGCTCCTACCTTAAACAAAACATTTTCATGCAATAAATCGTACAATGATTTGACGATCAATGAGAAATATGGAATAAATTTCCGAAAATATAAGCATAAGGCAGAACTATGCATCTCCTTAATATTTACCTCCTTAATAAGCACCGGAATTTTCTGTTCCGATCTCACTTCTTCTTTAGTAGGACTTATACCCTTTTCCGATATAAGATACCCAACGAATTTTATTCTGTAAAAAAGCGCACTTGTTTATTCTTAACTCAAGCTTACTTGCTACAAACAGTCTAAATACTTCTTGTAACACTCTGAAGTGCTGTTCAATTGTGGCTGAAATAACTAAAATCGGCCATATACACTATTACTTCTTGCCATCGCATATGTTCGGCTAGCATTTGATTAATATAGCATTGGAATCGAGAAGGACCTATTTTCAGCTCGAATGGCATTCGTAAAAACTTGAACTGGCCAAATGGTAGTAAAGGCCGTATATTTAATCGAATCTTCCGACATCTTGATATGGTAAAAGCCATTTTTTAAATTTAATTGTGTAAAATATTTCTTATCATATAATGAATCGATTAAGTCCTCGATATTCGGTAACAGATAATTGTCCCTCATTAACAACTCGTTTAATGTGCGGTAATTGCATAGTAGCAAATCTCCGGTTTTTTTTTCGTCCAAGACGATTGGTGAAGCATATTCCGAGTCGCTTGGATGTATAATTTATTTCTCTAACAGTGAATCTAAAAGAACACGAAGCTCTCGTCTTTCGGCATATGAGAGCTTACTGAAACTTTACTTTTTGCTTACTGAAAAATGAAAAGGTTTGTCATCCTTTAATCTTAATTTGATCTCGGCATCAACTTGAGATTGCTCCGGTCACGTTGGTTTGACATACTCTTCAACAAATAATTTTTCTACGATCGTTTGTGTTTTATTATCTATCTCGGGATTAATATCTAACTCTTCGCTTAGACATTTTTCATCGATATGAATATTTAATATCTCCCGAATTACCGAGTTTTCCGCCTCTTCATCGTAAGATGATTTCTCTTAAAAAAAATTGTTTCAAAATGTCTCGACCGATGATTACGGAGAGCTTCATCGATCCTGCCATACG